TTAACCATTGCATTGTCTTCAAATCTGGTTGTATTATCATTTCCCTGTGGCTTCAAATTTGAAATGTTACATCCAATTTTTAAAATTTAAATAAAGAGTTGCTCTACCCCTGTTGCTTATGTTTGGATGCGATGTGAAGTGACACTTTGAATTCACTTATCAGTTGCTAAAGAAACTTATACAACATTATGTTTGAATATGTCTTTCTTTCTCCATTGATGTTGTATGTATCTTTCATTACAAATACATCCTTATAGAGCACTAGCTTATTTTCAGAGCATTTTTTCTTATATTTCCATGAAGTTTTTAAGATTTTTATTGATTCTTAGAGAGTGGGAGAGGAAGAGAAAAAGGGAAACATAGATCTTCTACTGTCTGCTACCTGGGATGGAGTCTGAAACCCAGACATGTGCCCTGATTGGGATTCAAAGCAGCAACCTTTAGATGCAGGGCCCTTGCTATGTAATTGTGCACTGATACCCAATAATTTGATATTTGTGTTATCATAAGGTGTTTAAGACAACATAGATGTTCACCCACAAAATTCTACCTTAAAAAATATAGACATAAAGAAAATATTTGATCATTTAGAATAGCAATGAATAAAAATGGATCTCAGGTAGGTCATCATATTTTAGAGATTCACAGAAACACACAGAAAATGAATTCTGAAAATGTGTAGCATACCAAAGGACACACTGTATGTTTTCATCGCCTGTGGATGTCTCATTGAAAATGTTGTAGACTTTGTCAGCATACTGTCTTAAAACTACAGCATAATCTCAACAGTCGAAAGGGAGTTGATGGAATTGGCTAGTTCATATACCATCCCTCCTCCCACCTGGGCCACGGCATGGTGATACTTAAAAGTTGGATCATAAAACTTTTCCACCAATTCATAGGTTTCATAAACACTGTGATACAGTGGATAGCTGCTGAATTTGTTTATTGCCTCCAAAAAAAGCAAAGAATAAAATATATCTCATGTAAGATAGCTTATAATAAAATACAGTGCCATATTTACTATTAATATTAGTGAGACTATTTCGGACAATAATGAATACAGGAAGAATAAAGGAAAGTGTTTAAGTACCTCAATAAGACACTTACTAAAGGGTTATTATAATATGAAAATCTGTCCCAGATTTTTACTACAGTAAACCCTACATTTTCGGGACCACGATTTAATGGGCTTTTAAAATACAAAAAGAACCTATAAAGCTAAGAACCACAAATAAATTGAGGCCTAATGCAACAGGGCAAGCTCTTACCTCTAAACCTGTTCAGCATGACTAGGACTCCAGTGCAGCACCATGAGGTGAGCTCAGGATTCACTGGCTGATACTTTTGATTCTGCACCAATTCAGTCCTATAAACAATGATATCAGTGGCATTTTGAGGAAAAGATTACTCACACAACCACTCTAATATCATAGCTCTTCATCCAGGATATTTCATCAAGTTCCTCCCACTATGAGCTACTGGAGTATACATTATAGTCTACCCTCTTAGGGATATAAGAAATGTTACCTTACTTTTTTTCTAAAGATATAAATTATATCAACTCCCCCTTTCTTCTCAGATATTATTGCGTTTCTAAAATGATTGACAATTATTTCCTCCATCTACTTCACCCCAGAGAATGCAAACCCCTGGGTATCTGACAGGGAGCAGAACATCCAGGCAGAGTCTTTTGGGATTGAGTCTCAGAGTTGTCACCAATGAAACATTCAGTGTCTGAAAGGGGAAAGTCCACAGAGCCAGACAGCTCTCACCTTTTTTTTACTGAATCAAGAAAACCTAACTCCTGCCTGGCAGTCTGCTCCTGAAGGTCTAACTTCTTAGGGGGCACCAACAGGTCATTCCCCTGAGGTCTGACCTGCAGTGATGGCACAGGCTGAGTCATTGTTAGTCCTGGGAACAAAATCAACCCCCATACATTCATAGCAAAGCTCCTGTTCCTGCTCTTTTCACCTTCCACCTGTGCAGTCTAGGGTCCTTTCCTGTGTTTCCTTAAAAATCACACCTGTGATGTTTATTGTGCTAAATAGGGAGAGGATAGGGGTGACGTGTCGGAAGAAAACCCAGAGATCAGATGTTTTCAGGTACATATGAATTCAGTCACATGGAAAGGAAACTTCTGAGAACAAAAGGCCTCAGGGATCTTTTGAAAGAAAACAGAAAATACCTACAGAGGACAAGGTTTCTAGCTCAAAACATGTACACCTTCCTCATCCATAAGAGAATGACTTTCTCAGAAAGAAATAGTGTAAGCTCAACACAGTTCCCAAATCCTGCAAAACAAACAGAAAAAGAAAGTAAACATGCAAAGTGTGTCCTTTTATATCTTTTCTAGAGTTTCTTTTAATTATGTACCTTTTTCTATTTCCATTTAAGGTAATACGTTTCCAATGTCACTCATTTCCAAGTGTTATTCCCAAGGAGAGATCTGACCATTTATTATATTGAAAGCAACACAGGGCATCCAATGAAAAAGTGAGGGAGCTTTAAAATTGATTGCCATGTTCTAGAAATTATGCCTAGACAAGGGTGAAAACCTCAATGTTTTTAGGCAGTTGCTTTTATGGCAGTAGCAGAGTGACAGTAGATTAGGTGAATGTAAACAGAAAATTATCACAGCAAAGTTAATATTGCCATGCTGAGAGATTGACTGAATTTGGACGATCTGTCTTTGGAGTTGGTCCTTCGGTTTACACTGAAATCACCTTATCCTATGTCAACGACTTAGGCAAAGAGCTCCCAAAGATTACCAGGATACAAGGAAATAAGTGCCTGACTGGATGGCCACCATGATGGAGTCCAGGAGCAGAATCACGTAGCTGAGGGTAATGGTGCATGCAGACATCATAGCCACATTGTCCAGAAAAGGATTCCCGTCTCTATTGATGGACCCTGCCCTCTCACCAGGTGCATCTCCACATCTGGCTTGTGGCACATGTCCATCTGCTCTCTAGACATCTCTTTGAGGCTTTCTGCCTATTGGGTCATTCTGACTTTGCTTTTCTGCAGTTGTTGGAAGATCTCCTCTGCTTCTCTCTCCATTGTATCAACATAGAGGTGCTCCTCCTCATAGAGAAATAGATGCAACTTCTGAAATTCAGCTTTGATCATCACCTCCCTACGGGCCACATACTCCTGCACAGATAGAGGATCAAAGGGATTACACATTATCACTCGAAAAAGATTGTCAAACTTCCATTTTTTCCTTAATCTTATCAAGAAAATATTTGAGAAACATTTTGCCTCATACTTCAAAGTGTCTTGAGTATTTTCAAGCCCTTCTGTACATTCTGACCCTATGTTCCTGATCCCTTTTCCAGTTAAATCAAACCCTCTACAAGGTCCCCGACTAGCCCACCTGATGTGACTCAGGGGTTGGGTGTCCGCCTATGAACCAGGAGGTCAGGTTCAATTCCAGGTCAGGACTCATACTGGTCTTCAGGACTGAATCTTCTGCAGAGGATATAAGGAAGGCAGCTGATCAATGATTCCCTCTCATCACTGATATTTCTCTTTCTTTCTCCCTTCCTCTCTGAAATCAATAAAAACATTTTAAAAATAAAAAATAAAGAGTCCCTGTGATGTTGCTTCTCACTTCTTATTCCATCAATCATTTCTTCTTCACTATCTTCTTTCTCTATTGCTCCTTTGTTTTATTGTATTACTTATTTTAAAATATTTAACTATACATCGTATCATACAGATTTTTAAAAATTCTCAATTTTTTTTCTCGGTGCTGCTTTATTTCTCTCCTCTCTTTCAGAGTTAAACTTAGCGTGGTATTGTCTTTTACTCCATTTCTGAAAAGATTTATAAAACCTTCGTAGTTGAACTGGGAATACCTCTCAAGGCTTGCATACACACAGTTGATTGACCCTTGAACAACATCCATAGGGACTGGGATTTTTTTCAATAGATATTCAGTTGACCATCTATGTCTGCATATTTCCTATTCAAGTATTCATCCCTTGGCAGATCCAAGACCATATTTTAGGTCTGATGTTGGAATTTATGAACGCAAAGGGTCAACTCTATGCATTGTTTTACAACACTTTATATAAAGAATTTGAACACCCCAAGAATTTGGTATCCATGGGATCCAGCGAACAATGCCTCACAGATAAGAAAGATTAAGAAAATGGTGGGAAAGTCCAAGGTTATATGTGGATAATTGACTGCAAGCAGTTGGGAACCTAGCCTCTGACCCTTTTCCACAGTCACCTGTATTAGCATTCTTTCCACTAGCTTCCATGAGTGCAAAGGGTGAACTGCATGCATTGTTT